ACTCCTTTCTATACTTTGAAGTAGGATTTTTGGAAATTTTGCAGTATGTCATAGAATCATTCAAAATTTAGACATCTCTTCCTCATATTGTACTCTATCCATCACGACCACTCCACCTCCTTTGTCAGCTGGTCTGATAACAATTTCCTTCTTCTTTTTTAAACTTTTCAGGCCCTGGTATAATGCTCTTTCTTCCTTCACACTTCTCACATTGCAATATGTGTAGATCATCAATAGTCATACGTTTAAACACCTCAACAAATTGGTTCCTAGAATTGACCGGATTAAAGGTGGATTTATTCCTGAGATTACTCTGGACAAAAACCGTCCTACTTACACCATTAGCTGCAGTAGTAGGGCCAGGGAGAGAGGAAAAATATTTTTTTATATTTAGTTTCCTAATAAACTTATTAATGTCTATAAAAACTCCAAATTTATCCAAATTTCTTTTAGGCGCAAACTTAAGACCCTTATCCAGTAACTGAATCTCACTGTCATTAAAATCTACAGAACTCAAATTATAAATACCCTCCCCTATACTTCTTGATTAAAAATCGGTTTGTGTCTAAAGGATATGATCCTACACAATTGGAGAAAATTAGATATAAAGTGAGTCAGAGTTATATAGGGGATAGGAAGATAAAGAACACTATAAGTAAAAGATGTCGTGATGGTAAGGAAAACAATGTAGTGGACTGTGCCTTCATCTCAAAATTTAGCTGTCAGTACAAAGGGGTAGAAAAATATAATTAGGAAACATTGGCCTTTATTACATAAAGATCCCATGTTGGGAAAGATTTTACCTGGAAAACCTCGGTTTATCTATAGGAAAAGTGAGAACTTGCGAAACTTATTGGTAAAAGGGGTGATCTCTCCCCCTAAGAAGCCGAAGATGTTCGGACTCCAAGGTTTTTTTCCTTGTAAAAAGTGTAAAATTTGTAAAATCACAGGTATAAAAGAGAGGAAAATTACAACATTTACATCTTGTGTGACGGGAGAATCTTTTGCAATTAATAAATTTATTACTTGCAATACGAAATATGTGACTTATCTATTAGAATGTCCCTGTCAAATTCAATATGTTGGGAGAACTAAAAGTGATCTAAAAACTAGATTGAAGGAACATGTTGAAAATGTAAAAAAAGGGAAAAAAGAACACAGCGTATCCAAACATTTTCGTGAGTTTCATGGTTCGGATCCGAGCCTTCTAAAGTTTTGTGGTATCGATGTCCTGGAATCCCATTGGAGGGGGTGCAATAGGGTGCAGGAGATATCCAAAAATGAAACTTTTTGGATTTATAGGCTTAATACTTTAAAACCCAAGGGTCTAAATATTGAATTAGACCTAAATTGTTTTATTTCTGACCAGTAATTGAATGCTCGCTATAACCAGGAATATAAATATATATTATTATTATTTTTTTTTTTTTTTTTTTTTTTTTATTTTTTATTAATTTTTTTTAGTGTTCCATTGTATTTAGATTAGGTTATGATCATTTTTGAGTATTTACGATTATTGTTGTATTATTTAGGGTTTTTTATATATATTGTTAGGGGGTGGAATACTTTCTAAAAGAGGATTCTTTGTTTACATGATGATTGGGAGGGAATAGAGTTGAATTTTAAAATTTATATATTTTATAATACTTGTCTGTATATGGGTCTATTATTGAACCCTTATGGTTGACATTAGCTCTATGAAGGATTATGTTGTTTTAGTGAAAATGCGGTTTATATATTGGGGGGGTGTGTTGGTGACAGTTTTGCCGTTCTGACTAATGGCTTGTCTGTGTTTCATCTCACCGTCCCTGATATGCCTCATATAGGAGAGTGAGGATGCCCAATGTTCCAGGATGTAAGATGGCCGCGGTGATTATTTCCCCGCCCTAGTTGGTACTTAAGGGGAATGAGGAGACACGTCCATATCCCTGTTGACAAAGTCCGGTGTGACGAAACGCGTCCGGGGCACGTGACGTGGTGACGTAGTGACGCTCTTCCGGAAGTGCGGCGGCGGCCATTTCTGATTCTGGTACATGTGGCTGTGGCGTCCTGGAATCCTCATGGGACCTTGAGGTACTGGGGTCTTACCACAGGCAATCGGTTCCCTCTTGGGAGTGAGAGAGTGTGGAATCTATACACTTATGAGGAGAGGGCAGGATTGTGAACATATCGTTTGTGATGTGGAAGCTGATGTTACCTTATTTGAATGTAAGTTACTACAATAAAGTGCTATAATTTTTATGACACATATTGATCCCTGGTCTGTTTATGAGGTCTGTGGGAAGCGGCTGAAAGGCTGAAGGATTATTCAAAGGTTGGAAAGAAGTACTTAGACCCTTGATACCATTCTGAGGGTAACTATACACTTCCGCTAGTGGTATGCGGTGGATAGACTCCTAAGGCTGAGGGACTTCCTCTTTCACGGTTGTGGTGGCACGTTAATATATTTTTATGTGCATGAAACACGTGTGGCACGGTTTTTATATACCCCCTTTTCTTTGAAGATATCACACATGTTGAGTTTTTTTCTTTGAGGTATATGAAGATTTGGTTTGAAGTATATCACAAGGATTTCGGGATATGAAGAATTAAGATATCACAGATAAAGATTTTTTTACAATCATTTGGGACTTTATTTTGGACCTTTTGTTTTTTGCTTTTGGGATGATTTTGGTTTTTTGTTTATTATTTTTATATTTTTTATAGATCTTTTGGGGCTTTGGACTTTATGTTTATTCACTAATTATTGATTAGAGGGTAATCTAGGTTACTATATATTGTTTTGATGTTATTTGTACTTCAGGGGAAGGATTGTGTTAGTAACCTGGTGGGAATTTCGTTTGTAAAAGGATAGTGCTATATGCTGAATATATGTTTTCTCCATGTCACAGAGCTTTCAGTGAGATCATATAAGGATTCAGGATTAGGATATTTCTTGAGTGCAGCTAAGAGCCTTATACCCAGGTTCTGGAAAAAAAGGGAGGTGCCGACAGAGGAAGATTGGATGATCAGAATGAATCAGATTTGTGTGACGGAAAGATTATATTATATGCATATGGATATGATGGAGAAGTATAATATAAAGTGGAAAAAATGGGAGGAATATAGGGCTTATTTTTTTTTTTTTTACTAAAAAGATAACGGAATAAATTTTGGCCAAGATTTATGCTGAAATATTATTTATTTGCAAAATGTTATAAGAAAAACACTTTTTTTTTTCAAAATTTTTGGACATTTTCATTTACATAGCAAAAAAAATAAAAATCCCAGTGGTGAATAAATACCACCTAAATAAAATGTTATCTGTCTAAAAAAAATGGTAAAAAATTAATATGGGTACAGTGTTGCATGACCGCGCAATTGTCATTCAAAGTGTGATAGCGCTGAAAGTTGAAAATTGCCCTGGTCAGGAAGGGGGTAAAAGTGTCCGGACTGGAAGTGGTTAAAAAGTGCAAATAATTAAAGTTACACCAAGGGCATAAAATCCATCACCAACAAATGTTTCAGCTTCCCCCCCCTCCGCACACACCCACGTACATACAAATGTAAATGCATGAGATGGGGGCACCTATGTGCAAAAATGTCGATTGCGGTACACGTTACATATTGTTGGGCATGCCAAAAGGACAGCAATTATTCTAGACTTTTTATTTACTGTTAATTCTAAACTGGTGACCTGTAGAGGCTTTTAAAACAATGCTATGTAAAATACGTTTGATGCCGTTTCATGGATGCACACAATTTTAAGTGTGGCCGGGTGCCAACTCTATCATTATGCCTTTCAGGGACATTTATAGATGAGACTATGGTTAATCATTTTCCCCCTAGTGCCCAGTACTGGGACTACTACTTCACTTCCTGTTAGCAGAAAGAATTCAGTTTTTCTGAGAGCAGATGATCTTGGGACTTGTAGTCCTAAAGCCAATGCATACTGTATTTCTGAGTGCTGAAATACAACTACTAGAGTGCTGGTGAAACAGAGGGTTGCTGGGAGAGCAGATATATTCTACAGTAAGGGACTGTCTCTCTCTCTTGGTACAGGATTAACAGATGAACACGGGGGACTGCCGTTCTCCTCCAGAGGCAGATTGCTGGGTACTACTGCATTGGGACTGTCACTATCCAGTCTTCACATAGACATTGCTGCTTGCTGTGCTGACATCAGGCGGCAACTCTGCACATCCCTGCACCAAGAGCCTAGACAAGAACTCTCGTTCCTAGGAGACTGTGCTATCCATGGAATTGGTGCCCAACCTCTTTCTGTCATCACAGAGTAGGGTTGCCACCTCGTCCCTTTAAACCCAAACACAAATTAATTACATGGGTTCTGAGGAAGTGAAATCTCCCCACTGGGATATGGAATGCAGTATAGACTTACAGAGGTCATACTGCCCTCATCACCCTATCCGGAATTTAAAAAAATTGCCTTCACTTCTACTTTAGATTGTAAAAAAAAAAAATAATATATATAAAAAATAATATATATAACATAACATATTAAAAAAAAAAATAAAAAAAAAAAAAAAATATATATATATATATATATATATATATATATATAAAAAGTTTCAGGGCATTTATACTGTGTGTGTGTATATATATATATATATATAGTATATATACAGTATGAATGCTTTGAAACTTTTTCGTTTCAGACTTTTTTCGTTTTTGCAACTTTGTTATGATTCTTCCTTTGTTGGGAAGGAGCCATTTTGTCGGAGCCCTAAAACTCCCTATGGGAATGGTCTCAGGGAAGGTGGCGACAGGCCCTGCAGCAGGGACTATTCTAAACAGAGAGGTGGGGCTTGGCCACCCCCTTCTGCCCATCCTCTGCAGTCACAGCGAATGAGGCCCCTCTGTTCTCGGTGGCTCCTCCCTCCTGTCAGGAGTGGTTACGCGAGCAGGCCGGAAGAGCGCCTTGTGTTAGTGAATCCTGGTGTCCGCTCCTTTCTGGTGATCCCCGGTGGAGGAGGAGTTGTGTCTCTCCAACCGCTCCGGTCATGGTGTGGTGCCGGGCGTTGATGTGCACGTGGTGCTCGGCGCGTGTTCTGAGTTTGGGGCCACGGGCTCCCGCTGTCCGGTTCCTCGCCCCGAGGCACGTGTCCACTCGACTCTCCCATGGAGCCGGCAAACCGGGGGGGTTCCGCCCGCAGAGGGTGGCTGTAGTGACAAAGACCACCCGCTACGAGTTCGAGCAGCAGAGGTACCGGAACGCCGGCCTGTCCGAGGAGGAGCTGAAGGAGCTGGTGAGTCTGGGCTACAGTCCGCAGGGGACTTCCATTGGCTGCAGAAGACCAGGGTGTCTCCTCCATAGAGAGACTGTGTCCGGGGCCCCCCTCCTTACCTCGTGTCCAGGGACCCCCCTCCTTAGAGAGACCGCCGCCTCGTGTCCGGGGCCCCCCTCCTTAGAGAGACGCCGCCTCGTGTCCGGGGCCCCCCTCCTTAGAGAGACCGCCGCCTCGTGTCCGGGGCCCCCCTCCTTAGAGAGACCGCCGCCTCGTGTCCGGGGCCCCCCTCCTTAGAGAGAGACCGGCCGCCTCGTGTCCGCCTCGTGTCCGGGGCCCCCCTCCTCCTTAGAGAGACCGCCGCCTCGTGTCCGGGGCCCCCCTCCTTAGAGAGACCGCCGCCTCGTGTCCGGGGCCCCCCTCCTTAGAGAGACCGCCGCCTCGTGTCCGGGGCCCCCCTCCTTAGAGAGACCGCCGCCTCGTGTCCGGGGCCCCCCTCCTTAGAGAGAGACCGCCGCCTCGTGTCCGGGGGGACCCCCTCCTTGGAGAGACCGCCGCCTCGTGTCCGGGGGCCCCCCCGCAGTCCTTAGCAGTGGAGAGACCGCCGCCTCGTGTCCGTCCGCAGGGAGAGACCCCCCTTCGCCCCCTCCGCAGTGGAGAGACCGCCGCCTCGTGTCCGGGGGGACCCCCTCCGCAGTGGAGAGACCGCCGCCTCGTGTCCGGGGGGACCCCCTCCGCAGTGGAGAGACCGCCGCCTCGTGTCCGGGGGGACCCCCTCCGGGACCCCCCTCCGCAGTGGAGAGACCGACCCCCTCCGCCCGCCGCCTCGTGTCCGGGGGGACCCCCTCCGCAGTGGAGAGACCCCCTCCGCCGCCGCCGCCTCGTGTCGTGTCCGCAGGCGCCGCCTCGTGCCCCGGGGGACCCCCCCCCTCCGCAGAGAGAGACCGCCGCCTCGTGCCCGGGGGGACCCCCTCCGCAGTAGAGAGACCGCCGCCTCGTCCGCAGTGGAGAGACCGCCACCTCGTGTCCGGCAGCAGATACTGAATGGTTGGCAGGGAGCTGTCAGAAGTGACGTGCAGCACAATGACTAAGCAGACAGATCTGTTTCTATTTCAGTGTAATATATAGAGCAGTGGTTCTTAACCTGGGTTCGATCGAACCCCAGGGGTTCGGCGGAGGTGAAGACCCACACCCGACTCATATGATTCGTGATGACATGCCCCGCTTGTCCATCATTGGCTGCAGGTGGTCACGCAACATCGCTTAGCCCATTGGTCGGCAAGCCGCGGCTCGCAAGCCACATGCGGCTCTTTACGCGCTTTAATGCGGCTCTTGTGTGCCGACGCCCCGCTCCCCTCCCTCCTCTCGGGCGGCAGGGACTCTGCAGCGTGATCCAAAAAAAAAAAAAAACAGCCAGGGCAGAGCGTTCAAATAAAATGATTGGCCAGTCTCGCTGCCACTCACATCCTGATAGCCAGTGATTGGCTATCAGGATGTGTGTAGGCGGGGCAGCGTGACGAACGTGAGAGGAGCTAGGCTCCTCTCACAGTCTGCCCTGTGGGGGATGAATTAGTATAGGGGGGATGAATTACTATGGGGGGTGAATTACTATAAAACAGTGGTTCTTAACCTGGGTTCGATCGAACCCCAGGGGTTCAGTGAGTCAGTCTCGCGGGTTCGGCAGAGGTGAAGACCCACACCCGACTCATATGATTCGTGCAGTAAATATTCATTATTATGTTTTTGTTTTTGTGTGAAAATCATGTTTTAATGGTTTTGTTCTTAACGGTTTTGTTCATTTTGTGCACCTATGTATAAATATATACCTATGTTTTGAATTTTAAAAATCATATTTTATTTTTTCAATTAAGAAGGGTTCGGTGAATGCGCATATGAAACTGGTGGGGTTCAGTACCTCCAACAAGGTTAAGAACCACTGATATAGAGGGACTGTTAGCTGTCTTCCATGGACCCTCCATATATAACCTGTACATGTAGACTGCTACCTCCAGTCTATGGGACCCTCCGTACACAATGACGGAATATATTGGGACCAACAAAAAGTACCTGGAGCATCCAGTTGGGCTATTTGCTTTATCGGCCTTTATGGCCTTTGGTTGCTGTTCCACTTTTTGTCCCATTTTATTTGTAAATCTGCCCACATAGAGAGAGACTGGCACCTCTACTTGAGGAGTCTTCTAGGATAGACTGGAGGGGAGTAGGTCCTGAAAACCATTGGTCACATGATATGGAATCTATACTACGGTGTAAAATCCATGGGCTGGAAGCTCAGGAGGGGTTCTTCTATGCCAGGAGCTTGTTGTTAGGTGATCTATCTGGAGATCCCCTGGATGTCCTTTCTGGGATCACTGACTCCAGTTGTGGGGTCATTGGGTGTAATCTAGTGGGCAAGCTATTACAATTAAACTGGGGTCCACATTTGTAGACCACGTAATGCTGTCTTTGGGCCACTGTATTTATTCTAGAAGTTTCCTGCTACTTACAGTCTGAGGAACCCTGGATGGAGGAGCTCCGAGCCTTTATCAGCAGAGACCTTCTTGCACCCTGCAGTCTCCAGATGCATTCTGAGAGCTGTTGTCTTTGTTGCGGAAGAGATTAGATCAGACCATCTGTATAGTCCTCAACAAAGTCCTCCTAATAACATCGGCCTTGTGTAACACTGAAAGAATAGTCATTGTTGCTCTTGACCATCGGACTCTTCCATCCATTATCATACTGGACAGTACATGAAGTTTGGTTGCTCTGGGTGAATCGCTGGTCGTTTAGAGAGACTGTCGGTTGAATCTCTCTATAAACGTTGTCTGTTCTGGCATTGTTTTATATATATATATATATATATATATATATATATATAAGCATTTTGCTACTAGATTATAGTCTTACTATCAATATGTCCTTTAAAAGAGAAGTATATAATTTTTTTTTTTTTTTTTTTTTGTCCCCCAAATTCAGGGTGGATTTGATTTAAATCACTAGTCAGTAAGGCTTGATTTAAATCCTAGTTTTCTACATAAAGACTAATTCTTGCTGGTATAACTTTAATATGCAAGTAGATGAAGATTTTTAGAATAACAACTTTTCATATTAGTTTTTTTATCCCCAGTTTAATAGGTTAATCATTCATATTTGGACAACTTTTCTGTTGTACTTAGGAAGGAGAAAAATAATCATTACCTTAATAATACCAATTTAAATAGATTTATTCAACTGAAACAATAACATTCCAGCATATGTGATTTGCTTAAACAAACATCCATCTTTAACTAATTTGGCTAAACAAAATATATATATTTTTAAGAAACTTAGACTGTCAGCCCCTTCCTCCTCACACTTAGTTTCACTTTCTTCTTGTGCAGATCTATTCCACTCCAATCAGAAAAATATTGTTTCTATTCACTGAACTTCTTGAAACTTAGCACTGAAGGGGTTGATTCTGTATTCATAGGTTTGTAGAAGTTAGGATGAAGGTCTTTTTCTTAACTCTGTTCATGTTATAACATTTTTGCTGTGAAGAAGAGGCATGTGATCTCCGCTGAGTCAAATTCAGTTTTGAGAATTGCAAAAGTAAACCAACATCTGTGATAATATCTTGTAGGGAGAGAAACTGCCCAATAATCTTACAAAAACCTCTGGAAGAGCATGACATTGTGAATGGATTCATGGAATTTATTTACCCAAAAAATTAAACATATACAGTCTTATTCTACATAATTAAAAAACTAATCTTTATTTCATGATGTAATAACCTTTGGATGGTAATATATTTTCCTCAAAAAGCATTTTATTTAAAAAAATCAGATTTAAATAAAAAAAAATCAGATTTAAATAAAACCGATTTTTTTTTTTTTTTTTTTTTTTTTTTTTAAAAAATCATTGATTTTTATCCACCCTGCCCAAATTATACTTGTGTAGTTGTATGCAGCATCAGTCCAATGCTGCATCTGCCCCTCTCTGGTTTTAAGTGTGAGAACTTGGCGATCTGATGACTGCTGAGTTCTCCCAGCCGCTCTAAACAGAGAGCAGTGACTGACAGACTCTGCTCCCGCCACCCCATGCTCACTGGAGAGCTGGGCTGTGGAAGGCTCTCAGTGGATTGCAGGTGCAGTTCCAGACTCGGGGGTAGATCCCGACTTTGAAGTCGGGATCTTTCCCCAGCCTGGAGCAGCTGCAGGCTTCTGCCTGCTGTCAGCTGAAAACATGTCAGAGGAGTGCAGAACAAACTGTACTCCTGTGATCCACAGGAGTACAGCCAAAAGAACGTTGACTACACTTCTCCTTTTAATGGATAAATTCACCTTTGGGAACATGTTCCCACTCCTGCAACTCTCCCCCCAACCTGCTCTCCCTGTGACAGCAGGCAGGGACCTTCTTGCACCGCTGTCACAATTTGAAGAGCGCTTTGCCACATCGGCCTCAGCCCACATGGATGCATCATTTATTCAGTTTCATGTGAAGTCTATTGATTCTTCCTGCTCTGATAACTGCCTACCCATACATGGTAAAGGCAGACCACTATCCCGAGAGTCTGAGGAGCCTGAGATTCCATCCACAATCTGCTGATCACTGGTGCAATGCTCTGCAGGCTCCTTAGAAAAAAATAATAAATGCACATTTTTTTTTTTTAACCTGCAAATTTTTTAATTTTTTTTTTTTCCTCTTGAAAAGGTGATCTTATCTTTGAACAGCCAAACAACCATCAGAGCATTGCTACTTTCAGGTGATCGTTTCTCGTGCTTCTATAGAGGACACAGCCTGTAGCAACAATCATGTTTTGCTTTTTCCTTTTTAGCATCTCTTGTATTGGTTTTACTTCAGGGTATCCCAGAGGCATGTAGAACATGGCAGCTGTCATTTTTTTTAGAAACTGAAGTTTAGGTGTAGCAATTTTTTTGTAGTTACATTGGTCCAGCTTGGATCAAAGTATGTAATACCTGTGAGATCTCTGTGGAAGCTGGGAGTCATCGTAGTAGCCACTGCTGCTACAGTTATTGCTGATAGCT